AGTAAAAAGACAATTTACCAAACTATGAAGGACAGAAGATTGTGGAGAACCATGATCGCCAGTGTCCTTAAGGGATGTGGCACATAGAAGAAGGTAGGTTTAAATAATCTGAAAAACTCTTGACTGATTATAGTCTACACTGGAAAATCATGAATTGAGTAACTTGTAAAAGGAATGTTTTTTCTTGGAACTCAAATATGTTCAAATAAGGCAACAAAATATTTTGTTTATATTTATAATTAATTATCATTATTATTTGATGCACTATGAAAGTGGTTGAACTGAAATGGGCCATGATATGTGGGAATTGTTAAAGTCGAACTTAAATATAGAACACTCTTTCTGATTTGCTTTATATACATTCTTTTTATGTATCTGTCTAATTGAGGAGCATTCCAGCTATTTCAAGTAAAAGAAATCAAAATTCACCCCCACCCCTGAAAAGTGTCTTTGTTTCTGTTCCTAAATGTTATTGTTTACCATCTTTTTTTTAGTCTTTCTTCCTTTTTTTTTCATTCTTTGTTCATCTCAGAGCATTATTTAGCAGTTAATAGTTGATCCATTAATATAAGAAAAAAAGAAAAGAAACAGATCTGCCAATTTTATCCATACCTTTCGAATAAGTATGACACCACTGTAAGTACATTCTGATTAAATCATTCTGTTATATTGTATTGATTCCAGCATATTGCTGCATCAAAGATTTATCTGACCAAAATATCACTTAATATTTGGGCTAATAAAAGAAATATCCAGAATGCTAATTTAAAAAATCATTAGATTAGATGAAATATGTATCTTTCATATTAAAAAGTGTTATATTCCATGCTAATAGGAATATATACTTAAAAAAACAAGGTAGATAAAATAAGTAAAGGTTTATTGTAAAAACCTAGTACAATAAGAATAAAGGTAACAGTTATGCACAAGGTCATTGCAAGTCAATCCAGTAGTGAGTGCTACTATTGGAAGGTCGTTAGGTCTCGCATAAGTCTGAGTTGTACTCAATAGATCCCAGCTAGTAATAGTTACCAACTTCCTCACAGGGAAGGATGTGGCATAGCTTTGTTCGGGTTCCTCTCTGCCCAAAGGTAGAGAGTTCGACAGCAGCCAAAAACTGAGTAACAGATTCCAGCTGGTAGTATTTACCAACCTCCCATGAGGTAGGATGTGGCACAAGGCCGAATTTAATGTGAGGCAATCTGAGCTCATAGGCTCGGCCAAAAATTCCCCGTAGATGGGATCGGGTCTGTCTATCTTCTTGGATGAGACTCTGCTCTTCGGCATAGCCTCATCCAGATTCCTCTCTGTCTGAAGGCAGAGAGTTCACCAGCAGCCAAAAGCTGAGTAACAGATTCCAGCTTGTCTCTCTAGTCCATTGACTTACAGATACTTATAGGTTGTTACTACCTATAGTGTAGTCACTCGTGGAGGTGATAGGTTATTCCATTACATCAAAAAGATTGTCCTTTTTCACAAGATTTTTTCTGAAATTAAACATATGATAATTACATTGAAATTAGTGCAAGATAACTGATTTTAAACTTTAGACCTTTATAGGTTAATTATGAAAAATTAAACAAATTCATTTTTTGTTTTACAGAAATTTACTTAAAATTATGCCTGACATTATCAACATATTTGAATGAATCATTAATTTTAAGTATGCAAAAGTAAAGCTAATGGCTCAACAGTAGATCAAAAGACATCTAACTCACTACTTTCAGCTCTGGATTGATTAGATTTTCTTATACATTTTTATATATCAAAAGAAGAAAAAAATGAATGTTGATTTCCTGTGTTGTGCAGATAATTTCACTTGCCCAAATCTATCTTACATATTTATGAGTCTATCATGCTACCTTGCTTTGAATATTGTTGCCACATCTGGTCTCATGCTCCTGTTATATATTTAAAGATTCTTGATAAAATCTAAAAAAGGATCAGCAATATTATTGGTCCTGACCTGGCATCTCAGCTTCAGTCACTTTCCCACCACAATGACATAGATTCCCTGTGCCTTTTTCTATAAATACTTTCATGGTAATTGTTCTGATGAACTCTTCCCTATGGTACCTTAATGCTATAAATTTAAGCACAGTACTAGATTGGCACCAAGGTCTCATCATTTTACAGTTGAAATGGTTAGATATAACCGTAATTTCTATGCTAAGAGCTTCTTGCACTTCTTGCTTGTGGAACTCTCTTTCAGCTTCTTGGTTCCAAGTCAAATTTGATCTTCAAAAATTTAAATGCAATATCAGTCATTATCTTATTTCTTTTCCATTATTGTTCTCTCTTCTTAATAGTATTTTTTTCTCATATTCTCTAACATGCAGTACCCCTCGTGTCTTACTGGCTATGTTGCAATATAAAAATTTTTTTAATGGAAAAGTAAAATTTACTTTGTGTCATATCTCATATCTGACTATTAATATTTTAAAAATTTATTCTATAAAATCCTTAGTTTCCTTAATAATCAGCTTCATTAAAATCAGTACAGATTACTTTTCAAATCTCCTCTTTAGACAACATTACAAAGATTATGGGAACTTTGACATTGTGTTATGGTTAGCAAGCTTGTCTCAAAAATCAATTATGACTGAGTAGTGAGTGTGATTCTTACCGGGTGCTCCATATTTCTAGCCTTGTGTCACATCAAAGTTATGCTTAAAAATCACCTTTACAATGAATATTTATTGAAATGCAAAGCTTCATTTCACAGTGTATCCCAATAAAGTTCTTTGTAAAAAAATTAAACTAATAGGCAGTTTTGATAAAAAAAAAAACTGACATTGTTCCTCTTTATTCTATGTTAAAGCTTTCTATGTGGTTCTACTAAAGGATGATGAGAATACTACAGACAAAACATATAAGCAATGAGAAAGTTGTAAGGAAAATGGAACAAAAATGAGAAATTATACATAAAATCAGAAATTTCAAATTTCCGGGATATAATGAAGCCTGTAAAATTTGACATACAGAGGGATATTGAAAGTAAAACAGAGGAAAGCAGTGAGTAACCTACCTAATAAGTTTTTGTAAATGGTTGGCACAACAGGGAAGAGTAGTAAAAAAAGACAAATATTCCTAAGACCTATGAGAGATAGAAAGCTAGGGAGATTGCTCACATACTGAAGGGAAATGGCACATAGAAAATGATTAGTAACATTACTAAAAATAATTTAATATTATCTTCAAGTATGCTATCAATTAATTTTTTTATTGTTTATTGAAAACTTCAATATCTTGATACCTCAGTCATTCCTACTTTAGGAAGAGATAAAAATCTATTGTGCAAATTTTTCTGCTAAGAACACCATCTCTAAGGCTTGTATAAATGGCTTATATTTTAAGAGATGTAAAAGGACTCAAAAAGGTTGTAATGCATGCAGAATCAAACTATAATAAATAGGAAAAAAATGGAGAGACAAGTATTGATTAAACTAATGAAATCTAGAAAGTTTATTATTAATTTCACTTTCAATATTTTAAACCCTGATTTTCACTTAATTCCCTGGAAGGTCAAAAGATCAATGGGTCGGTCAGTTGGAGACACTTCCAAGAGTTTGCAAGCAGAGATATCAGATATGGCATGTATAGGAAGGAACATGTGTAATCCATCAGAAACAAGCTTCAGTATATTAAAATAGACACTCATAGATGGAGTTTACAGAAAAGCTGTAAAAAAAAAAAAAAACATGAGAAAACAAGATAAAGAAATTAGTTCAAATAAACTAATATGTAGAAAAATATTTTATGATATACTGCCAGATTTATTTTGATTCAATTTGTTAGACAAATGAGGTAATCTCACCCTGTAATATTAAATATGAATAGGGGCAGTGTAAACTTAGAAGCCTTCAGATATTATCATCAGACCCTCAGCTGTTTCAATCATCTTTCTCAAGGCAGAAGAAACAGATTTTGATTCTTCTTCATTTTCTTTCAAAGAGCTTGGCAGTGCCCATCTTCTCTCTAAACACCTGAGAGTCAGCTGAAGACCACAGAATATGGTGTGGGTCACCCTTCGGCAGTTTACTAGGCCCTCGGGTTTGAACTCAAAGCTGTGCTTCTCTTAGACTGGTTGCCACCCAAGGCTATAGGACTCTGTCTGTCCTGCTATTTACCTATAGTTTGGGGGAGAAGAGGTGGATTCATAGCTTTCCAAAGTGTATTAGCACGTAACTGAAAGTAATGAACTCGACTAGAATGTGAACTTTGGGGAGAGCCAAGTATACTAACATTGGTTGAAAGTGCCGAATGCACAAGAAACATGACTGACCAATGAAATTCAAAGAACATAAGAGTAAAAATACCAGAATTTCTTTCTTTTTTTTTCTCCATTACTCTACCATGCCTACACCAGATATAGTTGAAATCGAACATCCATCAAATAGATGAACAAAAGTATTGCTTAGTTGTTGTATATTAAAAGTAGCTGAGTTTGGCACAAAGTTGCAATTATAAGATATCTAGTGAAGAGCAAACTCAATATTCAGTAGTAATAGTCATCCATTAGCATGCTAACCATGACCCCATGTCAAAGGACAAAAGAAAAATTGATTAGTTGGTTGAGTATTTCTGAAATGAGGTATTGTAATTATTTACATTGTTTAGACTGTTGAACTCCTCATTATTGCCCTATTCACAACATGGCCCGGTAGATAAAAAACAATGGTTGGATCCAGTGACTTGACCCAAAAGTTTGTGAGTTCAATACCAGGCTACTGCAGTGGTGAACAAAGCCTTGGAGAGTTGAGTTAAAGTGAGATAACAGAGTTATCTGGAAGAGGCATGGCACGTGGAACTAAACAACCTACCCTGGTGGATGAAATAAAGGCTTCAGTTCAAGATTCCAATTACCTGAAGAAAGCTGGATTGTATAACAGCCAAAATGTTATGAATATGGCAATAAAGATGAAGACAGAAGTCTGAACAATGTGAATAATGTAAATAGTTGGTTGAGATTTTTTCCATTTTCTTTTGATCCAAGTGAGATGTCTCAGAGATCTCTTGATTATTTTATAAATCCATCAAACTTGCTTTACATAATATATCTACTTCATTTTGCTCAATATCTACTTCATTCTGCTCATCATCTATCTCTCTCCTTCTGCACATCATCTATCTCTCCTTCTCATTATCTATCTCTCCATCTCATTCTGTTCATTATCTTTCTATTTTATTGATTTATTTGATTTTACTAATGCTACTCTAATCAAAAAAGAACATAATTCTTTATGGAGAAAAAGTCTTTTGGGTGACTACTAATAACAATAAAACATTATATCACTAACTTTTACTGAATCCATTTGTAAAGAATCTAACATGTTTATCTAAAACAAATGGTTTGTATGTATGTAAAAATGTTCCTAAATCAACATTAAAAAAAAAAATAACAAAATTAATATCTATTACACGCATACACTTACAAATATACATTATCATCTGATTCCCACATAGACAAACTAAACATTTTTATACACTTATATATAGATAACAATATTTACAGTTTTTGAGGAAGGCTTGAAATCCATTAATTTCTTGAAACTTTGGATGGATGCATCATCTCTTCTTGAATTCAGAACACAACTATTATTACTGACATTGGTTGAAAGTGCTGAATACACATAAATCATGACTGATTAATGAAAATCAAACAACACAAGAGTAAAAAAATACCAAAATTTCTTTCTTTTTTCTCTATATCTCATTCTCAGATGAAGCTTCAATAAAAGTGAAACATGTTACATTGATAAATATTTCCTACTTGTTCTTTATCTTATCAATCTATTTTTTCAAGAGTCAGATCAAACTAAAAATGGTTTATTGCTGCTGCATCTGGTCAAGTACAGCCCAGTATTCTCTCCCTACTCTTGACTGAGTTCACAAGCAAGTATGTGGCCTTCTGTGTGATTAATTATTTCCCACCCTACAAGCCCTTTCCTCCAGGTGAAATGTTTCCACCCTCTCACCACTCAGTCACTATTTCTATGGCAAATGCTCAGATAAGCTACGTTTCTTAATTCCACCAGTTCAGACCTTCACACCTAGGACCTGATCTTCCACATACACCATGTCAACTCATCCTACTCTGAGGACACTTTTATGATTACTACAATCTTAACTTCTTTTCCAAAACACTACATTTAACTACTTGAAGTCTAGGGTTAACAGTTATCTATCCTACATATCCTCATAATCTGCACTTACTTCCTCTTATATATCTATATAACAACCTCATTCAGAAGCCTTTTGCTTTGAGTGACTCTTGGGCCTAGTATAAAAAAATGTAATCATAAACAAGTGGAAGAAATGCATTTGCTAATTTTCCCAAATCTGAAATTTTTTTCTTGCAATCTCTGTAATCAGATTAAATTTCATTTTACTAATGTTTGACCTGAAAACATGTAATGTTTCCAACCAAATTACATAAACAGAAAAGTTTATCTGCATTAAATAATCACAGCAGTTGTAAATATCATTCAAATTTCTTAAAACTGAGTATCTTAGTCAAAAGAAATGTAATCTTTTATTTTTATATGTTTTATTATTTCTTCAAACAATTATTCTCATCTTGAATAGAAAAAAAGGACACTTACCCTTAAAATCAGAATGTTGCCATTGAAATTTGAGGGAAACATAATGAGGAAAGAGGACTTGGAGAATTTAACACTCACAGTACATTCTGAAAGTAGAAGTGATAGATGAAAGCACTGAGTAATTACCTAACAAGCTTGTGTAAATGGTTGGCAGAATAGAGATTATGAGGTGTGGTGAAAAGAAAAACTTTACTAAGAGCTACAAAGATAGGAAGCTGTGGAGAAACATGATCGTCTACATCCTGAAGGCTTATAGAAGATGATGAGAGAGACAATGTTTTGACCAACTACTCTCTGGCCAGATGTACATTGTTTGGGCTGGTAGAGAATATCTGTTGATTCTTGTGTTATTTTCTCCCTATAATGTCAGTTATTGCTTGCAAAAGCATTGTTTCACTACCTGATCCAAGGATTGAACTCATGATTGATTTTTATATTGTTAAATCTTAAATATAATAATTAATTTTATATTGTTAAATCTTAAATTGATATGATTAAGTTTTATAATGATTTTTAATGTCTCTTATCCCCTATATAGCAGTAATCATTGTAATCCTTTTTAAGATGTCTTTTTCAAAATGGAATATTCTTACCAACATGAATCTAAAATAAAAATACTATTTTTTCTGTAAATTTCTAGGATGAGGAGTTATCATTATTTACACTATTTATATTTGGACTATTGTCCTCACTTTTGTTGTTGTTGTTGTTATCACAACATTTTCTTCATTGTACACTCTGGTCTTGCTCAGATGTATATCATTCTGGGTCAGTGGTGTGCAGTGGTTTGAGTCCCTAATACTCAAGCAGGGTGGCCTTATAGGGCCTAATACTGAGAAATGTAAGAAAGGAAGACAGATGAAACATGAAATTTATATTATTTACATTATTTGAACTGTTATCCTCATCTTCATTGCCATATTCACAACATCCTCCAGGACACATGGCCCAGTGGATAAAGGTGTTCATTAGATTCCAGTGACTAGAGCCAAAGATCTGTGAGTTAAATACCAGGCTACAGCAGTGGTGAACAAAAAGTTGGAGAGTTGAGTTAAAGGGAAATAACTGAGACCTTCGAAAGAGGCATGCCACGTGGAACTAGAACAATCTACCCTGGACGAAACGAATAATGTAAATAGTGTAAGTAATCATAATATCTCATTTCAGATATATAGACAGATACTGAAACATGAAATAAAACTTTTATTTCAAATTTCAAAAACTAAATTTTTATTTGGATCTTTGATTGGATGTTCTCTAAAAAAATTACACCCTCTACCCTCCCTTGGTCTTACAGGGTAATAACCTAGTGGCCTAAAGCACTGGTTCATGAATTTGGTGACATAGTGACTGTGAGTTGAATCCCTGGGCTAGGAAGTGAGTGCTTGCACTCAGTGGAGACAAGTGAGCAATAACTGAAAAGTATTAATAGTAAGAGTGAGACATGGGCAGTGGAATAAAAAACAAACTGCCCCCATAGATTAAATAAAGGATTCAGTTCAGAATTCCCTGTAGGTTACCCAGATTTATATACACCTGAGGAAGACCAGAGTGCACAATAGCCGAAATGTTGTGATAACAACAAAGATGTTGACAATAGTGTCAATAAAATGCTATTGTTCTTAAATAGGAACTGACAAAATTATTTGTAGAAATTTCATCAGAAAATCTGAAATTCCTAGTGTTTCATGTCTTTATAATTCTTGTTGGAAAAGGAAAAGGTAAATTTATTAAACATTTAGGATAGGACAATTAGAAAATTAAACCAAACGAAGAATAAATCTGTGCCGTAAAAGAATTACCATATTTTCTGGTATCTAACTGAAATTATATTCGTTATATATCAATGATGTTAGTGAATAAATTTTCCTTCAAGTAGTTATGTACTCATTTTTCATTTGGAAACACACTGGAATATATGCCTTTCAAAATCTAAGCAAAGTATTAATAAATAGGAAAATTTCATTAGAAGCAAAGAAAATAATACTAAACTGTTATGTAATATCAATCCTCCTATATGGCAGTGAAAACTAAAAAATTTCCTCACAGATGAAGAGACTTGTGGAAACAGAAATGTGGTTCTACAATGGGAAGTTGAGAATACCATGGACTCAAAATGTGAATAATGAGGAAGTTTTAAGTAAAATGGAAATGAAAAAGACGCTTATAATTAGAATCAGAAATAGAAAGTGGAAATTTCTAGGACACATAATGAGGAAAGAGAGCATAGAGAATTTAACACTCAGAGGTTATATTGCATGTTAAAGGGATAGCAGGAAACAGTGAGTAACCTGCCTGTGTAAATGGATGTCGGGAGAGGGAGGGATGATGAAAAGAGAAACCTTACTAAGAGCTATAAAGGATAGAAAGTTGTGGAGAGCTATGATTGCCCACGTCCTGTAGGAAAATCACACATAGAAGAAGAAAATATGATCAAAATTCTATTTTCAGAATTTGATATGAATTTGTTTAACTATTGTGTTGTTGTGAAATAAGATTTTTTTGTTGGTGGGGATTGGAATCAGAAATATAGATAATGCAAAGAAAAAGTCTATATAATTCTGAGAAGAGATGAAGTGGATAATAGAGTAAGTAAAAAAAAAAATGTATCTCAAACTGAAAACTTGAGTTAGAAACAAAACATATGTATATTCTCAGAAGTATACAATAAACATTATTGAAATAAACATATTTGTACAGTCACCTTTCTGCTTGATTAAACTTTTTTCTATTTTTTATTATTTCATGCTAAAAGTAATTCTGACTTGACTGTCAGGTATGTTTCTGCAAGTAAGCCAGATACAAAATTGAACCTCCAAAGAGCAACAATATTGCATTGAATATATAATAAAGGAAATATTAAAGGTAATATCAGAAGAAGGAAAAAAAACAAAGAATACAAAAAACAGAGAAATAAATTAATTAAATCTTCCTAAGATTTTGAAAATAGATAAAATCAGAATTTTATTTTATTATTTGTGGTTTAGTTACAAAATGCACATAATTTTCAGACAATTAGATTTTCAAATTCTTACATCACATTTGTCTTTTTTCTAATCATTTCACCCCAATCGAGGCAAAAAAGCCACTAAGACGCAGAGGATTTACATTGCATTTAAATTTTTGAAGATCAAACTGGAAATAAAGAGGCCAAAAGAGAGTTTCACAAGTGAGAAGCACAATAAAAGAAAATGTTAGCATAGAACTTTAGATATATCCATTTCAACTGTAAAAGGATGGGACCTTGCTGCCAATCTAGTACTGCACTTAAATGCATCAAGTCTAAGTACCATAAAGGAAAGTTCATCAGAACATTTACTATGAAAGTATTTGTAGAAAAAGTAACAAGAAAGCTATGTTACAGCAGTGGGAAAGTGACTGAAGCTGAGATGCAAGGTCAGGACTAATGATATTGCAGCTTCTTTGGATTTTAACAAGGATCTCTAAATATATAGGAGGATCATCAATATGACAGCAATATTCTTTCCACTGAGAATTGAACTTGTCTTCTATATTTCAGGAGCTTATCTCTCATAGTCATCACATTAACCACTATAGTGAT